GGGGGGGGGGGGGGGGGGCGGTTTTGTTCCTTTCTTTTTCCGGGGTTCGGCCCAAAGTTGGGACCGCCACGGCCACCCGTGTCCCAGGTGATGTTCCCCACCCACGTGGGACGCCTTGCGATCTTTGATGATTATCTCTTTTGTGGAGATGTGGGCTCCGGCTCCTTTGGCAAGGCGCGGAGTGGGTTTTCTGTTCAGGGAACCATCTCTTACACGTCCGACCTTCCATAAGGTTTGTACGCAATGTTCGGCTTTTGCTGTGGGTCCCTGCTTAGCCGCGCCCACCTGAGCTCAAGCCTGATCCCAAATCCTGCTCTAAGCCCGGGGGTGCTTCGGGAGGTTCGGGAGTTTGTGCTTGGGGTTTTGCAGCCGGAGAATGAGGGGGAGCTCAGTCCTTGGTGTGATTTGCTCGCAGGTCATGCTGGTTCGGCATAAGCGCTGCGCTCAGTCGGTGGATCTGGAGGGCTCAGCATTCTGGCTGGAGGGGTTGGGCGCTTCCACTTTACACAACGAAAGACACTGCATGCTGCAGCCTTGAGCGGAAAGACCGTGTGCCTGATCCTCAACCTTGTACATCCTAATAAGTTAACTCCTACACTATCCGTGCAAAGCTCAATCTCAACCTGCACACCCTAGAATGATAAGGCAGCACTCTAACCCGAAGCCCAGCACTCTCCTGCCCAAGCCCTGTATATTATTGCAGGAAGTTATCGCTGTACAGCTTCGGGTTTTTGTACTCGCTAGCTCTCCTCACCAAGCGCTTCCGCGGCTCACATGTGTTGCGTCCTTCACACGATCTCTGCCCTACATCGGATTATGAGGTTCAGATCCACATACACACATTCTACACATTGGTTCGAAATTCCATGCCCGGAAGGCTGGTGAGCATCAAAGCTGGCCCTTCAACTTCAACCCTCAACATGTAACAGTCCTCCCAATGCCAAGCCACTCGTCGCGCGCAGGAGCACGAAGCAGCTGCGGGCCTGCAAGGCTCGGCACAAAAGCACAAGGGGTGCTTGCAACAACTTCTTCATCCCCAGCAAACCATACTATCCATGCATGTGCGATTAAGGAGACGCAATCCAATTCGCTGGCTGTGTCGAGGGCGACCCACATCCATGCATGTGCAGATGTGCGTATATTGCATCAAACATACTGGCACGGGGTGGGGGTTCTTTTTGGGTATTTTTTTGTTTTTTTGTGGGTATGTTTTTGTGTTTTCGGTTCAGTGGCCATGTGAGTCCATAAGTGTCAGTCAGTCAGTCAGTCAGTTAGTCAGTCAGTCAACAGGGCGGTCAGTCAGTCAGCCAGTCAGTCAGTCATTCGGTCGGCCAAAAAGAGCGGTCAGTCAGTCAGTCGGTCAGCCAGTCAGTCAGTCAGTCAGTCAGTAAGTCAGTCAGTCAGTCAGTCAGTAAGTCAGTCAGTCAGTCAGTCCAGTCAGTCGGTCGTTGAGACAACAGGGTGGTCAATCAGTCAGTCAGTCGGTCAGTCAGTCAGTCACGTTCGGTCGTCCAAAAGAAAGCGGTCAGTCAGTCAGTCGGTCAGCCAACCGACCGGTCAGTCAGCTAGTCCGCCTAAACCCTCCCCCCATTTTTGGGGGATAGGGGTTTAGAAAGAACTAGTCAAGGGGTAAAAAATTATTTAAGGGATCAAAATAACTATTTAAGCAATCAAAGAACTATTCCTGTTTTATAAGCAAAATACAAGGCAAAGGACGCGAAGGAAGGAAGGACGGACGGAAGAAAGGACGAGAGAAGGAAGAAACGAAGGAGTCATCGGGGACCGCAATGCTTTCCACAACCTGTTTGCTTGACACAGGGCGAAAAATGTACGTGCAATAAAAGCTGCTCATAAGGGTTAGACATTGTTGACAAGACAAGGCTTGCCGCCGTGTGTCTGGCCCTCCTAGCTCTAAATCCCACATCTTGTAAAACTAAAGGAGCTGCAAGTCCGAAGCTCTGCAAACAGGTTATGGACATATGGAAAGCATCGCGGTTCCCGATGACGACGTGTGTGGATACCTGTAAGTTGCTGCGAAACTGCCAAAAAGAGAAGAGGTTTGGGAATGTGTCAAGGTCTGCAGGACGCATGAAGGCAAAACCAAAAAAATACCGAAAAAAGAACAAGTGCAGCCTCGACGTGAGGCCCATCCCTGTGACTGTTATACAATCTCGACCATCCAGGCCCAGAAAACCAAAAAAATACCCTAGAAAACCCCAAAAACACCCAAAAAACCTGGACCCCTGGCACGTGTATACGTGTACAAACTCTAGCTATATCTGAATGTACATACATTACATTACATTACACTACATTACACTACATTACACTACATTACATTACATTACATTACATGGCATGTCCGCATCCCTGCGGCTACATTATCAGTATCATTTCCACAGCGACAGAAAGTTGAAAGGACTGCCTTGGGGCCTGCAAGCAGGACAGTCAGCTCTCCAGAAGTACTGGCCACGATTGTACATGTGCACGTACTGAAACATCAAGGGAGTCGCAACCCCAAGCTCGAAGCCTGAATATCAAGCAACAATGCAGAACTTTAGGGCTTCCGTGATTTGCCCCTGGGGTGGATGTTCTGAGTTTTCTGGCAGGTGGTAGCCGTGCAAACTGCTCTGCAGCGGGAGCTCATGGATAACGAGATTCGATTACTCAAGCAGCTCGAAAGCAAGAAGATAATGTCTTAGATTCCGAAGCTCAGCGCTCTGCTGAAACCGCCTGAAGTCTGAATTCGACACCCAAAACTCAACACACAAGCGGGTTGCCTTCTAGAGTGGTCTCCGGGCTTACGTCTTGGTCTCAGAAGCTCGGCCAGGCAACTCCATAACTCCGAAGCCGACAAAACCAAGAGCATCGGGGTCAAAGCTGAAACTCGTAAGTGAAGCCTATTTTTCAGCAACCTGGCTCCACCCCGGCCGTTCCCGAGAATCCCTTGTGCCGTAGATATTAGTTCAAAATCTAAACACGCGCTGATTCCCTCTTACTAATGACCAAACAGGAGTAGCACCTCTCGACGAAGCTTTGCAAGATGCGTTGAAAGATCTAGGATATGTGACCGCAGAAAGCAGCAGCATTGCTACTTAACCTGCCTAGCAGTAGCTGCATTAGCAGCTTTGGTATCGATCCCTAGGTTTCGAAGGGCCCAGGTCATGTAAAGCTGCCAGTATGTGCTTGGTCCGATTTAGGAACTTCTGGGGCCGCGAGGTTCCCATCCCTTTTCTCCGAGGCGCGAGGCACCGATTCTCGCTCGCTGAGGTCGTTGAACCACCCTCACATCATGAAGATGCACGAAGTCTACTTCGAGCAGGTTGGACTTGCCAGGGATTCGAGCGATATGGAAGAATGCCGAAGCACTGATCACGTTCAGTTGCAAGACACTCATTGAATTTGAAGCCCATGCCTGAGTGTAACAAATCGACAGAGTGGGTGTGCCAAAGAGGGCGTAGACTGGAGGGGGGCCTGGAAAATCCTTCATGCACTGAAGGCCTGGAGCCCTAAATGCATCCCTGCGCGTGGAGGCTTCGGAAAGCGGCCAAGTCGCCAGTGGCCTGTGCCTCAGCTCGAGCTGCACGGCAGTCCACTAATTTGAGGAATCTTCGGGTCCCTGGATAAATTTTAGGCTTCAGATGTACCGCAGGCGCGTCCGGCCATTTTCCAGGTCCTGATGCAAAGATATATAATAGTGTCTTATTATTATTATTTTTTTTATTATTTTTGTTATTATTATTACTATTATTATTATTACTATTATTATTACTATTATTATTATTTTTATTATTATCTATAATATCTATCTATCCATATATATATATACATGTGGCCGATGCCTTCAAACAAAGTCTGGAGTCGGTAGTCTCGAGAGCTACATAACTCAGGCGCCGCTGTGCTTGGCGCTTGCAGTTTGGGGAACTGTTGAGGCAACATCTACCTGGTGACGGAGCTCTGCGAGGGAGGAGATCTTTTCTCGCGGATTCTTCATCACTACGAGAGGACCGGCTGTTCTTTCTTTCTTGAGAGTTTAGGGGCTGGAATTTCAAACGCAAAGCAAGCAAAGCATGAGCAGCCTAGTAGGGCAGCTCTCTCTTCTACGGTGGTTTGTCGAACTGTTGCACTTCCCGGCAGAAAAAATCAGCAACTAGATAATGCTAAAGATGACGCGTGGCATGGGTGCTTAGGAGCGACTGATCTTCCTTTGGTAGGGAAGTGCGAGAGGTTTTGGGAAACCCTTCATCTTCAGTATGCATTGAATCATCCCAGACTCTCAGATGTGATCTTTGCTGTATATGCTCGAAGCCTACAAGCCCTTGAAGCCAGCGTGGACCCCAAACTTAGACCCTAAGCTCTGTCGTCCCTGCGATTCAGCCTGCATGCCATGGTCTGATTTCTTTCGACCTCCCACCCGGTCCGTCTTTACATGAAAGAGGTTGAAGCAGCCCATGACGGAGAGCCATGTGGCATTCATGATGCCTGGAACTCAGCGGCTGGAGCTTTGGGCTTGGATTCATAAATCGGATATCGCGATGGGGTGCAGGGGCATATTGCGAGCTTGAAGCAGAGCTGAAGGACATGCAGCACTTTTCTGAGATCTTTGAATCATTTCGCGGTTTGGGCTCACTTGCAGGTGGACACATGATACCTGGATGCGACATCGGAAATCCTCTGGCCGAAAGGCTTCACTCTAAGCAAAATAATATCTTGGTGTGACTTGCTGCTCTTCGAGCATGCCGAGGCAGCAGATCCTGTCAGCGACGAAATATTGTCACGACAAGGGGATCATCCATCGCGACATCAAGTCAGCGACACAGTGCTCAAACTCCTGGTGCTCGGGGCTTGTGGTTCTCCAATGGCCTGCTTCCAGTGTGCGGCTGAAGAGGGTCGTGCTCTCTCTCACACGAGCTGACCCGAGTCTCTCAGGCCTTGCTTGCGTTATTGACACGACGTGTTCATGCAAGAGCTCTTACGGCCTGAGGCCGGAGAACATCCTTTTCGTTGATCGGAGCGCTAGCTCTCCGCTCAAGATGTCTTGCTGGCATGGGCTTCAAGAGATCCAGATAGCCGGTTCTTGGAGTTTTAATGGCTGTTGGTGGAGGTGACGGGGGGCGGGGGAGCGGGGGGTTGGGGGCTGGTGAAGAACTTGGGCGACGTTCTTGGACTAGTTGGGGTATGTCGGGCTTGAACACTACTAGGATCCAGTGCACAGAGCCAAGCGGGCTTTCCACCCGGTACCTCCGTGGCTCTCAGGAAAAAGATGCGCCCAGAAAGAGCATTCATGGTCCGCAGAACGTCAGAAGCACGGAGCACTCAATGTGAAGGGGAGAAAGTCAAACAAGAAAGCTGCACTGACTGGGGAGAAGTCAATGAACCTTCAGGCAAGGCACAGGTATTCTGATGTACTCGTAGATCGTGATCCGGGGCCTTCGGAGCATGCACACCTGACAGAGATGTCCTTGCGTGTCGAGATGGCAATCTGTTTAAAAGGCCGTGTTGTTGAGTGCTCCTGGCGAACGGATACCCCTGAAATCCGACCTAATCATGCCCGAACTGCTCGCTCGATGACAGAATCGACTTCGGTCTCGCGAACTTCCACGAGAAGATACGAGAGCAGGCAACGAAAGCTTGCGGGGTTCACGTCATCGTGCTCTGGTTCAGGCTGCTCGTCTTGCGCAAAGTAAATCCCAAGCTGAGCCGTTGGCCGGAACTACTGGCAAAACCGATGTCACCTATCGAGCTCCTTGCCTAGTGTAAACTCCTTGACGCTGTGAGAGAGTTTTTTCGAAGAGGCGAAGGAGGTGAAGGTCGCCCGGTCCGGAACAATGGGGCGATTGGCGCGCATGCTGTGCGAGCCCAAGATTGGGCTCCGGCCGGTAGCTTCCTTGTGCTTTGGGATAGGGGTAAGCTTAAGCTTGCCTTGAGGCCCTTCATACAAGAAGCGGAAAGCCGGGAACATGAGCATTCCAGTTCGTGCTGTTCCCTGCAAGAATAATTACCGGTTTTGTCACCTCAGACCTGTCAAAACCTGTAGGCTCATAATGCCAAATCCAGAACCCTCTTGGCCAAACCATGGGAGCCAGCCGAGGCCATCCGTGAACGGCCGACATTTGATTCCTTGGCATGAACGGAAGCGCGTCCGACCCCGAAAACCTGTGAGGGCATTGGTTTGAGGATTCAGCTCTTCAGGTTTGGAGGGACGCTCGCTATCCTAGCGTTCGTTCTGGCGTTCCCTGCACATCCCGAGCCACTGGAGGACATTCGTAGGCCTGGGAACCGTGCATGGAGTTGTGTCGTCATACCCTCACGGCCCCGGAGAGCTTGTTCAGTCACACACTATGTTGCCATATTTGTCTGCGAAAAGCGTTCCTGAAGACGAACCTGCAGCGGATCTTCGGCCACAGCAGGCCTAAACAGACCCGGTGCTGGCCCAGGTCATGCAGAAGGCCGGTACGCCGCACTACATGGCGCCGGAGATGATCGAGGGGTCGCCACCTTAGAATGCTATGAGAAGTCCTATTCCACGAACTCGACTTCAAGTCGTCAGAGGCATGTTGCTTTGGTTCCCAACGCCCAAAGGCATCAGACGGATTGCTGCAGGTTCCAGGATCTAGGATTCGCGATCTTGGCTGCACCCGAACCATGCCACAGGGTCGCAACAACTCCACAGCATCCGAGGATCCACAGAGCGCAACAGGTGGATTTGTGTCTCAGCGCATTGAGTTCCCGTCACCAAGCGAAGCCTGAGTTGCAGAAGCCGTCTGGAGTTCCGCGCAAGTCCACGCTTCGCTGAAGCTTTACACCAAAGATCGACACGTCTGTGGAAAGCCAATAATCAGGGGCAGCCCAAGGCAGTCCCTCATGGTCCAAGGCTCTCGCTCTTTCTGATCTTTTTGGCCATGGCAAAAACCATGCAACAACTTTGACGGGCCACGAGCCTTTATTGAAATCCAGGCAGGAGATCAGGCAGTTGATCACAATCGCCCTGTCGTTTCGAAATCTGCGGAACTCAAAGTCTCGACGGCCTCTGGCACTGCACGCTGAGGCGCTGAACCAAAAGCCAAAACACCCTGCACTCCAAACGCCCCGTTGCCTTCACGCTCTCCACAGAGAGACCCTGAGCCATTTAAGCTGTTGCTTCCTGAAGCATAGTCGAGCCAAAGGTCTTACGATCACAAGGCCGACCTTTTTAGCGCGGCACCGAGTTAGGGTTTTTGAGTGGCCTTATGGGTTTTCGATGAAAATGGAAGTTGCAAGTTGTGGGAAGCTCGGTTGGGAGCTATGGCACCTGAGGAAACCAAGGGATCCGGTGCTCAAGTCGATTACATTGGCATATTCCTGACTTTGGCATCAGCTCATCGTTTGTGAAACACCGGGAAACTGTCGAATCAACGAGCCGAGCCAGAGGCGAACGAATCGAGGAACATTTCGGCCGAGGAGCAACAGCCCTGCTGAAGAGAATATCAGAATATCGACGAACTCGCAAATGCCATAGCGAGAGCAGAGAGCAAAGAGCGCATGCTTTCCGAGAGATGACAGCCAGCTTTGACTTTAACGCCTGGGAAGAAGAGGTACAAATTTAGGCTGCTTCCCAGGTTTCAGGCTTCCCAAGAACACTAACGGAGCAAGGCCTGCATTGTAGAGCCTGCGGGAACTGACTCAGAAACAGAATCCCTCATTCAATCTCCACACCAAAGGTATTGGAATCATTCTCTGTCAGCTTTTCACCGGCTCGATCCTCAGCCGAGAGCGGGTCATACCGAGATTGAAGGCCGAATGTGAGTTCAGGGATTGGTTTGCAGATGTTGGCAGGGAGCAGGGTCTGTGTAGCTCCTGCCCGGGGTCCATGAATCCCATCCCATGCCTGGCCTCCATCTGAGGTTGGCATCCTTTTTACACGCCAGGCGATGATGAAACGCAGCATCCCCGGCTGGAGTCACGCTAAGTCCTAGCTGGTGAGACCGCTTCGGAATGATCTCGCTATCTGGCAACAGCAAGAAGGCCCCTGGTCCCTCATTGCTTTAAGTCGGGAGGTGGTGTGAATTCTTGTGGGAACCATCCCTGCTGCTTAAGCACGCCAGGGTGCTCCATAGAACCGCAGGCCTCGAGAGCTCGTGCCGAAGGCCATGCCTCGGAGATGGCACCTTCCGGCCTGAGCGCATCCTAAACTTTAAACCTGAAGTTGGGGAGCGTTCAGGGTAGAAGGCCTTTGTCGGCCCTCCACCTCGCCGCGAGGGGGCCCGAAAGCGCAGCCTCCCCAGCTCAGGGCCGTTCGCGCCAAGATCTCCAACCCGGATCCGGTCCAGTCCCGGCCTCGGCTCAGAAGATTTCGAGTCATTCTCAGGTTCACGTTAAGAAGGTCCAGAATGGCACAGATGGCTTGGAGGTTGAGATCCCCACGCCATCCACTACACTCCAGCAGTAAGATCTAAGGCCTCCGCCCGACAATGATTCAAAGCTCAAGCCCTGTACAGCCTTGAAGTCCCGGAATCCTAGTCGCGACTCCAGCCGAGGTTTCCGACTGAGATCTGGGCACAAGTCTCCCATGCAGCTTGTGACCTGTGCAGCCTGGCTGCAGATTCGCGGGTTTCGGGATGCTGCCGATTGCACGACGTTCTTGCACCAGACGCACAGTATTCGGTGTAGTTATGCGTATTCTGCTTCGACTCACTGACTGGGACCCCCCGGTTCATGTTACAGTAACTAGTTACTTCTACTACAGCTACGTTCTCATATCAACCCACTTTGCTGATGCTACTGCTACTACCGAACCCCCAACTGCATGACCACTGTTTAGGTGAGCAGCTGACCGAGGGTGCTTCTGTTGTTTGTTATTCTGGGGTCGGCTGATTGCACTGGCTGCCAAACCAAAAAAGCTTCAATTCCCAGCAGCTGTTCGCCCTCTGTTCTCAGGCAGGAAGTTGCTGGAGAAGCAGAGTAGCAAGAGGCTTTCGGCAGCACAGGCCTTGGCCCACGAATGGCACTGCCGACCTGCATTAACTATGATTGTCAGGCTTAGAAGTCTTATTGTATCGTTGTCGCAGACAGAAGGTATCAGTTCGAGTCCGACCGACGTTCATTACATTGGGGCAGCTCCGAGCTAAAAGGATCGCTGCCGTGATGTCCCTAAACGTTTCGAGGCTCTCTTGATCCAAGGAGAGTCGCGGGTTGGATACGTGCTATCTTTAAGAGCCGAGCTAAAGCTTTCAGCTAAAGGTGTTTTGGGGAGGGCTTTGAACAACACTTGCAGAATCTTTGCGACAAATTGTATGCAAAGGGTCATGCTGAGAAATTCACGGCTGCCATGAGAAATGCAACCTTTTGCTTTCATGCCACCACACATGGTATTCGCTTGCGGGTGCGCCTCTTCAAGAATTAGTTTTCATCTTATGTCCCGGGTGCTCGGAGGATATCGTGGTCGCACGAGAGCACTTCAGCAGCAGTCTTTTGCCAGTACAATTGTCGACGCATGTTCATAGTCGAGGTGCGCGTACGAGTCACAGCGTCGTGGCCTTGCCTTCGCCTTTGTCGTCAGTTCTCCGCAATCCCTGGACATGCGCACTATGCCTCATGCCTTAGGCAAGCCTAAAGCCGCGAATTCAGAGAAGCTATGGCCCTAAGCCCAAGTCCGTCAACCCTAGATCCAAATGCGGTGCTCGTACCGTGGCTGGACACAGCAGGTTTCGGGACCCATCGAAGCCCTCGCCCTTTGGAAATGTGGAGGGCCTGAGTGTCAGAGGCTCATCGACCTTTGCACAAATCCAGAGGCTCAGAAGAGCACGGGGCCGTGTATCCTGAGGTGAGGAGTTCGGGAGGGTTGCTGTTGATTCGCCGGTAGAAGCTTCAGGGTCCAGGGCTCAAGCCTACCCCAAAACAAAGCTGCCGCAGCTCTTTTTTTCTTAGATGTAACTTTTTTTCTTAGATATAACTTTTCCTGCTGTGCAGGCTTGCTGCACAGCAGTGGGAAGCAGACCCTGCAGGAACCTGTGGCCGAAAACGAAAGCCCTAAGGAGTGAGCCCAGCAGGAACTTTTGGCCGAAGACGAATCCCTAAGGAGTAAACCCAGCACTAAGGAGTGAACCTAGCACGAAGCTTCTACAAAAGACGAAAACCTTAAGGAGCAAACTTCGCAGGAACCTCTGGCCGAAACGACAACCCGACGGAGTAAACCCTGCAGGAACCTTTGGCCGAAGACGAAAACCCTAAGGAGTCAGGCCCGCATGAACCTTGGGCCCCAGCATGAACCTTTAGGAAGCACGAACCTTTTGCGAAAGACGAGAACCCTGAGGAGGAAACCCCGCAGGCTCCGAAATAGAGCAAACAAATCATAACTAAGATGCATGTTTTGCCACCTTCTGCAGAGATTCGTAGTTGTTTAAGACGAAAAGAAGTTACAACTAAGATGTTGTGTTGAAAAAGCAGAAAAGTCACATCTAAGAAAATAGTTACAACTAAGCGTCCTACCCGCAGATTTGGATTGTGTTTCCTGTCACAACTTACAACTGGGCCTACATTGGAAATCTCTTCCCTGAGATCGGCGAGGGTTTTAGAACCGTGTGCGCAGGGGCCTAGATGAGTTTAATCCGAGTGGCATAAGGTCGTCGGTTGCCCAGGACACGCTAGTGGGTCGCATATGAGGTTTGTATAGTCTGAAGCAAGCCCCATAAACGAGTTTTGGGATTTTGTTTCAAGCAACTGCCACCTTGCTAGCAAACGACTAGCACACAACACTCTATCGACCATCACGTCGATCCATCCGATGAGCTTCGCTTTGACAAGGTTTCAATCTTCGACGGCCTGAAGCAGTACCAGGCACCCGAAACCTGCATGGAGCTTCCATCACCAGTGTTGATGCCTTGGAGCCATTGTGACGTGACCCATCGAAAGACTTATGTGCACATGACGAAGGGGCAAAAGAGGCATGTAGGATTGATCAGGCAACAGGAAATAATTTCTTTGAGCTCTGAACTCTTTGCACATTTGATGAATCTGCGGGACTTTCCGACTCCCTGGTGTTGTACCCGACAGCTTTCAAGGGGATGACCTTACATGCGTAAGAGCATGTTGTCCAGCGCAGCTCTCGAACACCCCAGCCTGAAAGTTTGAGCGGAATCCTTTAAGAACTGCCATGGGATGTGAGCCGCGAACGAAGGCTTACAACAAGCTGAAGCGGGCCGTTCTCCAGCTGCTAACTCGAGAGCTGAGTGAGTTCCAGATCCAGGTGGGGCAGTGGATGGTAGGGACCTCATGGCCTGAAGCCCATGATCTTGGTGCCTTTCACGCCCACACTCACTGTCAGGAGCTGAGGGCCAAGTTCATGGCCCTGGACACCCATGGAGATGGGCTTCTCTCTCCTGAGGACTTCTGGGGATGCCAAATCAAAAGAAGTCATGTGGCTTCAGGTCTACTGCCCCCAACACCGAAGCGTCCTCGAACCAAGACCTCGAGTCTAAGAGTTTAAAACTCGAAGCCTCAGCAGCTCACAGCCAGGAGTTAGTCGAAGGAATGCGGCATGTCGGTGGGAGCCTCAGCAGTCGGTTTTTGTTGCTGGCAGGGGAGAAAGCACTCTGCAGAAAACCCATCGCGCTTAGGCCTATGCCATGCTGTAGGCTTGACACCCTCAGCGAGCGCAGGTTACGAGATGAGCGAAAAGGAGCTGGAGCAGGTGATGGCTGCTCTGGACGGCAGCGGCAGCCAGCGCATCGGCTACAAGGCGCACCGGTTTTTGAGCGTGGTTTCAAAGCCCAGACGGCTTGTGGTTGAACCTCGTGTAGTCTACAGTCTACAGCTTCCCATACCTAAATGGGCAGTTGATGATGCCAAAAACTCTGAGTCAAGGAATGGGCTAAAGCTTGGACCAGATACATCGCTTGGAGTGAGCATCGATAATGGAAAAGCCCGTGAGCCCAGTTCCCGACCGAGTGTCCCCAGGCACAGGTCATGAAGTGCATCGAAGCTCAAAGAAGGGTTGCGGGGTTTCGCGGTTTTGCAGGGATGTTGTCCAGCCTGCACGGCAGATAGTTCTCCGCAACGCGGTATCTGCTGCCTCAGCTTGGGGTTTTACCACCACCCGCACGCCCCCCCCCCCCACTCTTCGTGGGTTTCCCCCGGTGCTCATTTGGCACTCACCTCGCAAAGTTTTGCCACAGCCGTAGAAGAACTTGAGAGGAGTTCATCTCTGCGCTGATCGAGCGACGGGTGAAGTTCGACCGACAACAGCTTTTCGAGTGCTTCAAGAAGTTCGACAAGCCGGGATCTTGGATTTTGTGCAGATGTCACAAGTGCCGCAAATCCGGCAGCATTTTTTGTAGTAGCCTTGGTCCCTGAAGCAGAACTCGCTCTTTATCTCAGCCTTTGTGATGCGCACGTGCCTGCCCGGTCAAATCGCATTCCAGTCGCAAGAAGCATTGAACAAGCGACACAGGGCGAGGTCGTGAATGACACACTATCCACATGCGCATCTGCACGTCTGCATGGCACCCTCCATTGCCGGAGTTTGCAGCTTGTGTGTTAGTTGCTGCAAGACCTGAAGCCTTGGACCCAAGATTCCTGAAGCCAACCATCTTTGAGGCAAGGCATCGGACGAATCACGTACCAGGCACCCGTGTTTCGGATGTGTCTGAACCTCTCACCCGCAGCTGCCAAATACGGAAACCTGAACGTCTACGCGCGAAGCCTAGCTTTCGGCCTTGGATTCCGTGTCGAGACTTGGGAGTTCGTGGTTCCATGGCTTGAGAGGTTAGAGGGACTTTGCCTTCTCTGGTTGATCGTATTTACCATGTTACCCATGAAATTTCAAGCGAAACCCACCACGAAAACAACATTACAAGCAATCTCCAAACGATGATGTGCATAAGACCAGACACGCCATCTCGAGAATCACAGTCGCCAACATCAGGATCACCAGTGTGACCGCAATCACAGCCAAATAGCCTAGTCATCATCATCCTCAGAATCATCGTCTATGTTATCATCGTCGTCTTTGTCGTTGTTTTTTCGCTCTCACATGTGAGATCTTGCTTGTCGTCCAGGTCCTTGTTCGGGTGTTTATGTGAGCCCTTGTCAGGAATCTTGGCTGTTATCACCCTTAGCGCATGATCTTAAGCATGCAATGTTGAATAATTTCTCTTGTTCATATTCTTGCCACTGCCACGACTATTCCATCCGCATTGTCCTCGTCAGTGGTGCCTCATTGCCGGTTTCCTGTTTATCTTCACTATGACTGATCTCGCTCTCATCATGCTCTGTCTCCACCGCAGCAGCATCGCGACGACTTCTTGTTTTTGATCTTCTGGCCCTTGCGCCTGCCAACTGTTGATCATGCTGGGATCTGTTGTGGTCGTGGTCTGTGCCGTACTCGTCGCTTTCGGTTCTGGGGCTTCATGTCTCCGAAAGCCGCGGTCCAGCCAGGAGCCCGTAAACCTGCTGTGGCAGCTCCTGTGGCAGCCTGCCGACTTGCCGACATTGTAGATAGTGGGACCCTGCCGACCCCGACCTTGAATCACTGAAGCGAACCCGAAACTCCAGGAAGCGTGGAGCACCACAAAGCCTGCAACAGGATGTCAAGAGCGTGATGTGCAACGCCATCACCGAGTCGGAGTGGCAGGTTCTGGGGCTTTCCTTGATAGGCTTTGAGGGTTCCAGGGTGTGGGGTGGAGATTCGAGCCAGTGGCTGGAGAGGACGGGGTTCGGGGTCTGGAAGCTCCCCAAAACCTTATGACCTTGAGTCCTTCAGTCTCAAAGTTCTAGACTTGGGGTCTTGAAACCTGGCTTCCGTGCCATCGGCTTCTGGACTCTAGACTCCAGATAGAAGGATAGTCCTTACGTGCAGGCGCACCATGAGAGACTGAGACTCGTTCGGAGCCACCTGCTGCAGTCAGGGGGCCTTATGAGTTCCCGGCATTCCCAGCAGGAGATCGCTGTGGTAGGAGGCCAGCAAGACGCGCCGGGACCCCGGCCCTGGCTTTGTGCTCAAACCGTCTGACGGCCCTCCGCTCCTCCGCCTTGCCCTGAGGCCTCGTTGCAAATCTGTTCAAGCGAGTCCAACTTGGCGTTTGCTTGCAGCTTGCTAGCTTCTCCCTCCCTCCCTCCCTAGCTCCCTCCCTAGCTGCTTTAGCTCCCTCCCTCCCTCCCATACATTCCAACTACGCCC